GAGGACCTCAGGCTCCCTCTGATGGGCATGGTGATGAAAGATGAGCTGGTTCTGGCCGCAGGTTTGGCAGCAGGTTCTGCGCTGCTCTCTGCTGCTCTGGGCACTGGCTGGTGCTGCTGCTGACACTCGGAAGGCTTCCCCAGCTCCAGGCCCACGTCATCCTCAGTGAAACGGTTGTGTGGGGATGCTGATTAATGGATTTGAAGGGAACCCTTCTGAGCATCTCATTTAGCACAGGGGTCTGCCTCCAGAAATGGGGCAGTGATCCCTGGCTGGGATGGAACCCCACACTTGGCCTTGGGAAGACCCCTGGGGTTGGGCTGGGGCATTAGATGCTCAGGTTCTCCCTCAAAAGCCAGCCAACTCGGCCATCCTCGGGAAGGATTCTCAGAAGACAATGTCCAGGAGAGACGGGCTTGACTCCAGTGCATTTTTTATGTTTGTCTGTTGGCTTTAAATTAGGAAAGGAGAGAGAAAGGAAGGCCCGGGTCACCCTGCCTACCGTCACACACCTTTGCTCAGGCTGTTCCTACTTCCTGTAGGAAATGCATCCGCCCCACCCCACCCCCAACCACCAATCTCTCTCTGGTGATTAGAGTGATGTCTGTCCTTCACAGTCCGCCTTGAAAGCCACTTTCTTTCTCGGACCCTCTTTCTCTGGAGGCACCCTTCTCCCCGTGCTTTCTGTGCGCAGTTCTCGTGGCCCTTCGCCAGTCGTGTGCTGTCCTGGAGTTGCTGGTGTGCAGGTCACTTTGCCCTCTGTTAGACTGTGAGTTCCACCAAGGCTGGGGCCCTCCCAACATCTTCACATGTGGCGTGAGCTCTTACACGTGGCAGGGCTCAGTGGTGGGTTCTGGAGTCACTCCTGGAAGGGTTCCCAGCTGGCCATTGCTGTGTATTCTGGCCTTGGTCCTGAGCAGGAAGCCACAGAATCAAGAAAGTTGAGGAACGTGAATTAGAGAAGAAATTTGTGTGAGGTTGGGAAGGTCACAGGACTGTGGGGAAGCAGGTGCCGTGGCCCAGTCTCAGTACTGCCCCCTTCAGGAAGCTCAGGCAATTTTAACGGGAGCTACTCTTTAAGGAGCGCCTGCTCTGGGCTATGCGCTGTGACCAGTGTTTCACCACAGTTGTTCCATCTGCCGAAGAAGCCTGAAAATGGGGGGGTGTTTTATACCCTTTTTACAGACAGAGTGAACTCTGAGCTGCTTGTAGGCTGTACTGGGTCACAGTGCACACCCAGGCCTGTCTGGCTCACCTACTACATGTCCCATCTGTCTCCGAAGACAGTGGACTTCTGTGCGGCTTTGTTTTCTACCTTAGTAATGAAGCTGTGGAACAAGGGACCTGCACTGTGGGTGGAGTGGGTGTTCTCTGACTTAACCTTGGAGGCGGAGCTGGGGCAGGATGCAGGGGATAAAAAGCAACACCCTATTCCCCACCCCTACCCCCAGCCCCGCCCCCACGCTGGCCCTGGAGAAATGAGTCAGGCCTCTGGGCACCTCTACCTCTAGGCCTCCAAGAAAAAACAGGAGCATCTGCCCACTGGGCTGGCCTTTCTTCCTGGCGTCCACCTCCTGGGACTCCTACCTGGCACCCTGGAGGGCCAGCCTCACACCCGAGAGGAAACTGGAAGAGCAGCCTCGGTCTCTTTGCTTCTGCCTTGACATCCAGGTTGGAGAACGGGCACCTTCTCCCTGCTTGCACTCCCTGGCACCTGTCATGGGCCCGGTCCCCGAAATCTGATGGGGTTCACTATTTGTGAGGGAGCCCCGTATGTTCCCCACTCTCTCCCAGGCCCCCCTGCCTGCATTCCTGGGGGTTTCCTGCTCCTTCTGTGCCCGTTGGTGTGGAGGCCACAGGGAGAGCACAGTAGGGCAGCGAGAGGGTGTGAGCAAGTCACTGTGTCCCATTCCTGCTGCCACTCTAAGTCCCCACTGCTCCTAAGTTAGCTTTGAGCTTCCACTGCCATGGGACCAGCCCGCCAACCTGAGCCGCTACTGCCCCTCCGTACCTGGCACCCCCATCCTGGACACACATTGTCCGTTATCCCCGTCACTGCTGTCGATGCGCCCCGTCTCCCCAGTGACCCTCTGCTTTGATGCCCCTGCTCTGTTTTCGGAGGTTGCCTCCAGCCTCTCCAAATCAGGTTTCGTGCCCAGAAAGCACCCAGTCTGAAGACCGCTGACATCCTCGGCTCCCAGCTGTGCTGCCCTGACATGCTTCTCAGCTGGGTGGCAGGATGGCAGGGAAGGGGCTCCTGAGTCGGAGGCAGGTGCAGCCACCATCCTCATCCTCAGCCCCTTGGATGACATCTTAGGTCCCTGGTGACTGGAGTGTATAGCCAGGGTTGAGAGCTTCAGGTTTAATTCATGGTCTGGAGCTGATGTCAGTGGGGAGAGGAGCAGGGTGTGTGCAGGGCACTGAGCCCTTTCATCGGGCCACCCCTAACAGGTGCATGGCACCGAGCGGAGCGAGGAACCGTGGAGGGTCAGTCAGTGCGTGTGTACAGGAAAGCCGAGTTAAGGGATATATAAGAAAGTGGAAAGGACGGAGGAGCTGTGGGGTGATGGCGCCCAGGAGCCCTTGGGAGAGGTTCTGTGATCACCCAGCAAGATGGCACCCTGGGAGCAGCCTGGCAGGATCCCAAGGGTGGGGCACCTGGTTGGCCTGGAAGCCCCATGCCAGAGCTGGGGCAGGGCAGGGGTAACTTGGTTTGCCAGGGGCAGAAGAATGGAGTTTCTGTGCTGCTTATCAGGATAGAGGCTCTGGGACAGGATGGGAGGAGGCTTCCACGGCCCGCCTGGCAGATAGTTGCAGTCGGCGCTGCGTCACGGCGAGGACTTTGGACGGGGAGCCCCACCTTGACTTGCTGGTGACATTGGGTGGCAACTCTGTGTGGTCAGTCTGGAATAAGTCATGCTCTTACCTGTGAACATGAGGGCAGGTGAACAGCAAGCCTGTGAACATGGCAGTGAACAGCAAGCCAGCCACAGAATGCTGATTCCACATCTGACAAGAGCCTGGAGTTCTGGTCAGACACCTTGACCTTGCTCATTGGAAGACCCTTATTGGGTCTTTGGTTCTACCTGATCAGGTCTTCCTGCAGCCAGCCACTGAGGTATTAGGGCAGAGATCAGCAAACTACAGCCTATAGGCCTGACCCGGCCCACCACTTGGTTCTGTAAATGAAGTTTTATTAGAACATGGCCACACTCATTTGCTTATAGACTGGCTGCTCTGCCACTACAGAGTTGAATAGTTGCAATGGAGACCCAGTGGCCCTCAAAGCCCCAAATGTTCAGTCTTTCTTGGGGTGGGCCCTGTCGGTCATGGGACAAGATCAGAGCCTGTCTGAACCTTTCCTCTCTGAGAAGTAAAAGGAGAGCGGCACCTTAGGTAACACGGGCAGGGGCCCCAGGGCACCCGGGGAGAGGCCAGCGGACAGCGACATGGCCGGGGGCCTGGCGGGCAGGTGTCTTCTTGTCTGTCCACTTCACTTTATGAACAGTTGTCCTAAGTGAGAGATACTGGAACATTTTTAATTAAAGAACTAATAGTAATTTTTCCATTGCCGTCACTTTGATGAGCTGATGGGTGAATGTTGAGGGGAAATGTAAAGTTCCCAGGAAGGGGCAGGATGAGAGTTCATTAAAAGTGCCATGTGTGAGCTACGTGTCAATAGGTCCAAGATTCTGGGTGGTGTTCTTTTCCCAGGTGTTCCCCCGGTCGAGGAGACCCTTAGAAAACATCGACCCTGGGGCCGCCCACGTTTCTGGGTGGCTGAGCCCCAAGGGAACCGTGTGTGCCTGCATTGGGGAACAGCAGACATAAAAAGGCTAAATGCTAACCACTGAGGGTTGTCCCCAGAGCTGGTCTATCGGGACCGTGCAGGGCAGCCCGTGTGTCCCTGTCCCAGGAGCCTGGGGCAGGCGAGCAGGCAGGAGGACAGGGTGAAGTACCCCCTTGTCACTGTCCAGAGCTGACGGGTGGATTCCTGTTAGCAGCGAGTGGGACACATGTGAGCAAATGGACCAGAAAGGCAAGTGACCGTGGAGCTTCCCTTTTCTCTCTAGTCCGTCCACAGTCCTTCGGGCCGCCTGCCCAGTGTGGCCTGCCAAGTGAACAGGCGGGTTGTCCATGACGAGGCTGCCCTGTGGGCCTGTCCAGCCAAGGCCAACACTCTGACGCTGCCTCCCCAGTGCAGACTAACCCTGATGCTTTTGCTCCCTCTGAAAGTGGACATTCAATTTCTGCACAGTAATTTGCAGTGCACATGATGAGGGTTCTCCACTGACGTACGCACCTCTCTCCCTGAGGTCCCAGACTGCACTTGCGCCCGCCTCACTCTTCTGCTCCCTCCCTTTGCACTTCCATATCTGGTCAGTGCATGAAGCAGGCTCTCCGAGCTTGGCTCTGACCGGCTGACCAATTCACACAGCGCAGAGTCCTGCAGAGACAGGAAGGGACCGTGCACCGTGGGGGCCCAAAGAGGTGGGGTGGGTGGTCCAAGCATGCACGGAGTGTCCATGGGGGAGCTGAGCCCAGATGCAGGAGATCTGGGTCACTGCTGGATAAAATGTGATAGATCAACCTCCATGCCGTGAGGGAATGGAACCAAAACATCCTGAGCACCTCATCTGTGCTAGGAGCTTCCCAGGCATTAGGTCACGGGGCCCCAGTGATCCTTCACGGTGAGTGTTATGATCCCTGTGTAAACCCTTCTGTGTTACGTATGAGGACCCAAGGTGTAGAAAGTGAAATGGTTTGTGCAAAGTCGAACAGGTAAGTGGTAGAACTTGGACCATCCTGACACCCAGCCAGCATGTTCTCTGCTGTACTGTAGAGTCTTAAGAATGGAGCGTCCCCAGTGACCAAGGCCAGCATGAAGAGGGCAGCGGATACTCGGCCCCCTGGATCTCCAAAACTGGAGGCCAGGGGCCCCTGTCTGCGGGGTGCTCGGTTCCAGATGACCGTCCTCGTGTGTGTTCTTGGTCTTTCAGGAACTTAGCCATTGGAATTGGGATCCAGAATTTCCCAGAGGGCCTTGCTGTCAGCCTCCCCTTGCGAGGAGCTGGCTTCTCCACCTGGAGAGCCTTCTGGTAAGTGCTGGAGGGCTTCTCTGTTGGAGGCCAAGTTTGGGGCTGACGCAAGGCCCTGAGCAGTCCTCTGTGTCGGCTTCTTACTGTAAGAACAACCTTTTCTGACCTGACAGCAAATATGGACCTTCTGGTAAAATGCTGAATCTTGCACCCCGGGATTGGGAGGAACCTTAAGGAACCCATCTCTTGACCTTCAGCATTTTCATAAACCAGCCCAAGTGGCCATCCTTTCTTTTTAAAACCTCTCTGTGGGTAACCACGCCACGGCCATTCAGTGTTACATTTTCTCTCCCTGTGGCAGGAAGATCTGAGCCAGACCTTATGTCTGCTTTAATGTCACATGAGTGAACTTGGCCTCATATTGCTACAGCCTTTGTCCCCGAGAATCATTATAGAACCTTCTGGCATAACCTTTGTCAGTGTGAAGATTATGTCAGTAGTGTCTGGCAGAAGATAGCTAGTGTTTTCAGAGTCCCCAAAGGGCTTTCTAGTCTGTTCCCTGATTTTACTTTTTCAGTGACATATAAGGTGAGTCCCTAGTATTCAGGGGAGGAAACCATGGCCCAGAGTATAGATGACCACCTCAGGTCACCTGGCTCATTTGGCTTCTTAGTCCTGACTCAGGACTAGGAGTCTAACCTTCTGCCCCTCCGCTCAGGGCTCCGAGCCTCAGAACACCCCTGTGTGAAAACTGTCACTCCCTAGAGTGTATGGTAAGATCATTTCAAAGGACTGATAATAACCACGATAAAAGTGCCTTCCATCTTACAGGGCCTGTGACCTACCAGTTCTTACACATGCTTAAGTCATTCTATTCCCACCCTCCATGACCTCTTTCTCCACCGTGGGAGTCTACGGAAAAAACTCAGGCGCGGGGTGGCACCTGTACTGCACTAGGTTGTGGGGCAGGAAGAGGAGGCGAGCAGGACAGAGATGCTTCCGCACCGCTGGGCTCAGGTGCAGGGTCCCACACAAATAACACCCCTTTCTCATTACAAAATCTTTTATTACAAAATGATAAGCGTGTCATTCTGTAACATAACAGTATCACACTCAAGCACACCATATGACATTTTAGGTGACAGGTTCAAATTAAAACGATAAATGACCACACCCACATGGTTACCCTACCAGCCACACTCAAGCAGGCGTTGCTTCTGCCGGGCCCTGTATGACGTGGGATAAACGCGCCATTTTCCAGAGTGAGCAGTGTGAGCGTGCAGAGGGCCTGCGGGACTCTCCCAGGGGCACCATCTCTGTTCTCTCCTCAGGTACGGGCAGCTGAGCGGCATGGTGGAGCCTCTGGCTGGCCTCTTCGGGGCCTTCGCCGTGGTTCTGGCTGAGCCCATCCTGCCCTACGCTCTGGCCTTTGCTGCGGGCGCCATGGTCTATGTGGTCATGGACGACATCATCCCCGAAGCTCAGATCAGGTGGGAGAGCTTCCCCGCCCCCATCTGCCCCTGCCTGGGTCCCAGCCTCCAAATCTGCCCTTGTTTTCATTGGCCAGTCCTCTATTTCCACCGTCTCCTGCCCCTCCCCGACATCATCCTCAGCCCCTCCACGGCTGTGCTGTCTGAAAGTAAAAGAGGAGAAATGGGGGAGGTGGAGAGACGGACCAGGTGGTATGAGGCAGCGGCGTACGCACCCTGCCTCTCCGCACCACCCCCCCAGTGAAAGACTGTTATTTTTTAATATTCTCCCTCTCCCTCCCGTTTTCCTCTCTCCTCTTCCCTTCCCTCCCTCTGTCCCCTCCCTCCCTCCCTCCCTCTCACTCCCACCCCTTCTCCTGCCTTCTCTGGATCTCCCTGGAGCTGGAATGAGGAGAGAGGGGAGCTTTGTTAGCCAAAGCTATACATCCATGGTCTCATTATCTAGCTACAGGCCAGGTCTCGGGGGCTGGGGGCGTCCTCTCTATGTTTCAGTTTGGTTTTTATAGCAGAATGATTCTGAGGCTAGTTTACAAGGTCAGATTAAATAAGGTCTTCTAGAACTGAGTTGCCACTCTTTATTATTCAGGCATGGATTCCAGAGCCGAGATAGGCAGCCTTTGGCAAGTTATTTAGCTTCCCCAGCTTCAGTCTCCCCACCAGTGAAATCGGAATGACCGTCTCGCGGTCATCCTTGCAGATGACACGAGTCCATTGGTGTGCCTGGCACTGCTTGGGCCTCGTGAGCATCAGCTGTCAGTATCGTTGTCATTGCTCGCAGTAGGAGGGTGTTTTCTACAGGAATGGGCCTCACAGAGGATGCTTGCAGCTTGGACCGTGTCTCAATGCATTAAGATCTTCCTTTCCTTCCCTCCCAGTGGCAACGGGAAGCTGGCGTCCTGGGCCTCCATCCTAGGGTTCGTGGTGATGATGTCACTGGATGTTGGCCTGGGCTAGTGCTGAGGTGCTGGAACCCCAGGAAAGGCCGCACGAGGACGCGGCGATGCTTGGCCGCCATGGGGTCACGGCCCCTCTTCCCACACGACATTTTACTTTTTCTCCTGTTCATCTCCTTGTCCCGATTGACTGATTACATGACAATTTTTACTTTTTTTAAAAGGGAGACATAGGTTTTATTTTTGGACTTCCAAGGTGTCACTGGAACAACAGAATTTGGGCCACTGGATGGAGTCTCGCTCCAGTGGGATTACGGTCCTGGGAAACCTCTGGGACCTTCAGTCTCCCTTGCCAGACGCAATGGCAACCCCCCGAGGTCACCTGCAGAAGCAAGCTACCCCAGAGAAGTCTCCACATTTCTGCCTCGCGGCTCAGGGCCGAATGGTCAGGACAACTCTTGTCTGTCCCTCCTGACCTGGAACTGGAGCATCATGGACAAAGCCACCTACTGCTCTCCCAGGTCCCACCAGCCCCAGGAGGGGTATACCTTCCTCTGCCTTCCTGAGGGAGACGCCGGGGGGGGGGGTATGGGGGTGCCGACAAAGCAAGAACATCAGCTGGCCTTTGTTCTTCCTTCCTCTCTCTCTCTCTCGTGAAGATTTACATTGTGACATTACGGGAATTAGGGAATTGTGACAACTGTGAACACACTGTGAGCCCTGTGAAAAGAAGAGGCTGTAGCTTTGATCAGAGACCTCTGTTCTCTGAGGATTCCAGGAGCAAAGTGATTTGTCATGGTTTCCAAATCCCTATGACATTTATTTTGATAAGTTCATAGCCTTTGTTTTGCTAAGAGGCTGGGGGACACCAGCCAACTGCTAGAGCTCAAACCCTTGAGTTCTGAGCTAGAACTCAAACCCTCCGTCCCTGTGGACGGAACCATTTAAGCTAATTTAAGTGAAGGGAAGACATTTGGCATCTGTGATAGGTCCGTCTCTGCTGGCCGTTGGGTCACTTGTAACCCGACCCAGAACTCCGCTTTGCTGGAGTTTGGGCAGAGCCCTTAGGGTGAGAAAGGAAGACGGGGTAGGAAAAGAAGATTTTTATGTTTCCCTTTAAAAGTGAATTTTCAGCAAATCATCATTCTGAAACGACCCTGAACAGTGACTTGAACTAGATTAGAAGCCAGTCTGTCTGTCTGTACACACAGCGTCTCTAGCAGGTGTGGTGCGACTCACCTGCTTCAAGCACAGCTGGGGCCTGCCGTCCTCCCTGGTCAGAGGAGCCCCCGGGGACCTGGATCGGGCTCCGCAGACACGGCGGGCAGCCCGGGAGCCAGGTGTTCGGGCGTGGCGCGAGCGACGCCCGCCCTGTGCGTTTACATGTTCGACGGCTGCCTGGGGCGAACACCCTGCTCTGTGACTGGCCGGACACCCGAAGGCCAGCCTCACACTGGGCCAATCAATGTACGTTTTCCGAATCACTGACGATCAAAATTGAAGACACGTCCAGAGGTTTGATTGGTTGAGGTGATTTGTTTTGGTGGTTGACATTGTATTTTTATGTCTTTGTATGTAGTTCTACCTAGCGCAGGCTTCTTTCTGATGGACAAGACCTCATAACTGTGATTAATCTCAATAAAAGGGACATTGTTGTGGCCGGCACGTGTGTGTGTTCAGTCCTTCTCAAAGCTGCCTTCTTTCCAGGGTTGTAAGTGCACAGGCTAACTGAAAAGTCGCTCCCAACACCTTCTCTCCCTGACGCCGGTGGAAGCGAAGGAGGGAGCTCGGAGGAGGATGGCGAGCCCCGATTCCCAGCTGCAAACCAGTGTCTGTGCCAGCGTGCTTGCATAGGGAACTTAATGATGGCTCTCCGGAGCTCCTAGGACCTACAGGAGAGACAGGCATGAAAATCGGTTGAGATCCAAGAAAGCTAGAGGTCTGGGTTCCTCCGGGCCCCGTCACATCTCAAGAACAGCTTGGTTGGTGCACCATGTCCCCAGTTCTGGTCCCTAGGTAATGGCCCTGATGCCACGTCTGCCCCCGTGGGATTTTGGCTCCACACTGACCACCTCTCTCACCACTTCCACTCTCCTTGGCTTTGACACCATTAACCCCACTTCCTTGACAGGGCAGGTGAGGGCCAGGAAGTCTTACATGCCAGGGTGGCCACGGCCAGGGGCAGGGTGGGCTCGGTTTTGCTGGAGGATACAGAAATCAACCTCCCACCATCCTCCCCTGAGCTTTCCTGAAACAAGGCTCTGCCAGGCCTCCACCCCCCAAAATGTTGGTGAAAGTTGGAAGCAAAGGGGAGCTCGGGCCGTTCTTTTCCCCTTCCTTTGGCATTGAGGTAAGAGTACGTATAACAAAGCAACAGATCTGAAGTGTATGGAGTTTCACCAGTGTTTACCTACGTGCCCCCTTGGCCGGGTATTCTCCTTACCCCTTACCCTGCCCCGGCTACACACCCTGGGCCCCGCCAGCCAGGCCCAATGGTGTGAGCCGATGGCCTGGCAGGCAGGGACGAGGCCCGGAGCCTTGGTGAGGCCAGGCTGCCTGTGCCGGAGCACGTTCTGGGCGGAGGGTGCCTCCTGACCTCGGCCTCCCCGGGGCAAGCGGACTGGCAGTTGTATTTACATGCTCAGGGCGGGGCCACAGGGGTGGGGCGTGAGGCCAAGCCAGAGCTTTGCACGCAAGGGGCAGCTCCCCCACAACCCCCCACCCCTGCCCGTGAAGCCCTGGGACCCGCCTCCCTCGGTCGCCCACCTAGGGAGGGATACCACCCTCCTTATCACCCTGCTTGGCTGCAGTGAGTCCAGCCCAGCACCACCAAAGGGACCAGTGGCTTCCCGGGGCTCCCAGCTTGTCCCTTCCAAGGCCTCATTTGGGGGAAGTTTATACAGTTTTGGGAGCGCTCTTTGGGGAAAAGAGCACAAAAGTTCAAACACAGAATTAGGCACAGGCCTTGGGCGGGGTGCCTGTGAACCGGCCTCCCTGCAGTTCAACCTTCCTTGGCTCTAAGGTAAGTTCACCGGCGCTCCCCTGCTTTTAAATGGCTCTGCCTGAGCAGAGGGCATGGGGGTCTGCAGTGCTCCTGGACTTAGAGGCTTTGTCCCAAGTCCTCTAGTGAATTAACCGTCTGGTCATCTTCCCAGCCCCGCAGCTGGGAGAAGGGTGGCAGTGTGTTCACAGGCCTGAGCAATCCAACTCCCAATTCCACCTCTCAGTCCTCCGGCGGGAGGAAGTGAGCCTGGAAGAGGATGTTGCCTCCCCCTTCCAGCAGGATACAGGAGGGAGGCTGGCCCTGGCCAATGAGGGCAGTGGCAAACAGCACCCGAGTCTATTTTAGCCGCTTCCATGCTGTTCTGGACAGTGCCGGGGCTCTGCCAGTGGCTCAAAGGCAAAGGGTCACTGCTGGCCACCATCTGCCCCGGGACAGCTGTTACTGAGACCCCCACAGCTTCTGGGGGTGTTGCTCAGCCTCAGGACCCCTGGGTTTCCATAGCCCACTGGGCTCATGCTCCAAAACATGGAAGACACAGGTGGACAGAGGAGCTAAAAGGAGCCATGGATTGTGTTGGCCCAGGGAAACACAATCCATGGCTACTTTTTGCACGGGGCAGACCTCATGATCTGTATGTCTGCACCCCTGCACCCATGGTCCTCCCCCAGGTGAAAGGGTCAGACTGAAAACTCTGTGCGATCTCGGGCAAACTCTGAGCCGGAAGTTAGTAAGCCTGTCTCTGCCCCTCCCTGTCTAGCAGGGAGGGAGGGGTTTGGAGCTTGTGAGGACCCAGTGCTGGGGTTTTAGGCCAGGCTAGGATCTCCGTTCCCTGATTGCAAGAGCCATGACTTCCAAGAACTCCAGGGTGTGTCAGGGGGAAATGAAAATGTAGAACAAGGCTGTGGGGAGGAGTGCAAAGAGGGGAGAGGCCCTTGCCACAGTGTGGTTCTGGTTCGTAGTGTGTAGTAATGGTGGCAGAGGTGAGCCCCTTCACCAGCCTTGGCCTTTTAGGGTCAGGGTTCAGTATGCACTGGGGTCACTACCGCGCGCGCACTAGAGGGTGGAAAGGACAGTGAACTGCTTAAAGATCAGTGCTTACGTTTAGACTTCATAGTTTCTCCTCACCAGCCACCTGCCCTCTTCCCGCTGTCTTTCTTCAGTGACAATGCTGATTGAACTCCACGTGCGAAAGTACGGAAAAGTAAATTTTCTCACTTCTAACAGGCCTAAAATATAAGTTAAAAGAAAAAAGAGCAGTCTTAAATAAATGCTTCCTGAATCTGCAGGTTTCTTCCATGTGGCCAAGGGTTGTATTTGGTGATTCGGTGGGAGATGGTCACTGTATTCATTCTCGTTGTGTACCAGGCGACCACGAACTGAGTGGCTTCGTCAACACACATTACTGTCTCAGTGTCTGTGGGTCAGGAGTCTGGATGTGCGTTAACTGGGTCCTCCGCGCAGGGCCTTGCCAGGTCAAGGCCAGGCTGTGTTCTCCTCGGTCTTGGCGGGGAAGGCTGCTTCCAAGAGCACCCGGGGGGTTGGCAGAATTCGGTTCCCCAGTAGTACTACTGGGCCGCAGCTTCTTGCTGACTGTCAGCTGAAGGCTTTCCTCAGTCCCCAGGGGCCACCTGTAGCTCCTAGGGCTACTCACAATTCCTTGGCACGTGGATGTTCCCAGTGTGGCTGCTTTCTTCATGAGACCAGCCTCCTGATGAATCTACTAGCAAGAGGGAGTCTTGCACAGTGTGACAGAGTCACGAGAGAGACAGCCCTTCCCCTTTGCCTACTCTCCTGGCTCATAAACCTGGGTCACACAAGTTGATTTCATAGGTTCGTTTTTCATCAGTCAGGATAAGTAGACACAACAGGCCACAGTCACGTAGGTGTGATCTGATTTTAGTCTCCCTTTTGCACGTACACTGCTGAGTGGTGCCCGGCAAAGAGGGGAGGGGTGAGTGAACAGGGAGGGGACTGGAGTGAGGATGCATGCCGAGAGCAAGGCACCGGGCTGTGTGAGCTGGGGGGACGAACCCTGGTCGTTCTGCCCTCCTCCTCCTCGGGAGTTTCCCTGAGCTGACCTCCCAGGGCTTGGGTCAGGGCCATGGCCGACTCTTGACTTCTTTACATAACGCAGTGACGGGCGGGAGGCGCTGAGAGCTCGGGGAGCCCCGTCTGCCGGTCCGCTCCCTCCTGCCCCCTTATCTATCATTAACACAGCAGAGCTCAGTGCAAATGTGTTTTGGGTTCAAGTCACTGTCTCCGTGTTGACACCCACCAGGATGTGGCAGAGATGCCTTAATTTTGGTCGCTGCCTTTAACTGGGCCTATGAACTTTTACTATTCAATTTCCCACGTGACACTTGGTGGCGGTGGCCAAGTCTTAGCCCTTGGCTATTCCTGGCAGGCAAAGGGAAAGGAAGGGAGGCATGGGGACAGCAAGAACCAAAAATCAGAGTCCACTTCCAGGTCTGTTAGAGTGTATAGGCCTAGAAGTCTCCTGAGGATTTCTTTTATGTACCTTTATATTCCAAAGCTGTACAATGAAAGCCACAACACAAACCCTGGCAGTCAAAATCA